GCCAAGGCCAACGAGCTGTATGCCCAACTCAAAAAGGAGACACTCACGAGCCGAAGCCAGTCCAAGAAATGGGAGAGCGAGCTGAACAACAAGGTCCGGTCATACAAGGAGAGCGAGAAGACATGGCACAGTGACGAAGGCGGTCTGCGATATGAATTACAAAGGACGCAGTCAGACTACGAACAGCTTAAGAAGATTGTAGAGAGGGCCGAGGCAGAGCAACTAAAAGCTCAGCAACGAACGAAAGCATTGGAATATGAGCTCGAGGATTACAGCGACATTCGACGAGAGCTCGAGTCTGCCCAGGACAAGATCATAGCGTTCGAAGATCAAAGGAAGGAATTGCACACCCTCATCCAGGAGCGCAACGACCTGCGCAACGATCTCGAGATTGCAAACATGCGCTTGAACAGCCGGGAGCAAGATCGCGAACGATCGATCAAGGCTTACGAACGCCGGATCATGGAGCTAGAGTCGCGCTTGCAAACATCTGACAGAAGCACCGGTATACCGGGACAGCTCCCGTCTTCCGTTCAGCAGATGCTTGACTCGACGCTCGCAGCGAGCAACGCCAAGATGCAGCAGCTGAAAAAGACCCACTACCGTCTCCTTGAGCAGTACACCGAGCTGCAGATGAAGTACCACGATCTTGAAGGTGAGCGAGAAGCGGAGATGGGACAGCTCTACCCCCGAGACAAGGCTGGCCATGTCGATTTCGGCACGTCGCGCATGAGTCGCAACTCCAGCGTCCGAACAGCAAACAACTACAGCTCAAGGTACTTGACGCCTCTCTCGACTACAGAGGTTCCCCCAAACGAAGAGCAAGAATACTACGAATACCGTTCCCCGGAGTCAGTACACAGCCCTGGTGCGGGTCCTTCACCACTTCGTCCGGCTAGGCTCGAATCACTACAACACGGAAAGCCGCAACGGTCGCAAACGGCGCCATCTCCCTACCCTGGGTTTGGCGGAAACTATGGGCCGGATTTCTCCGCAGCGTATGACGCCTCTCTGCACAACCAGTTTCAGGCTCCAAAGCCGCCCCAGTCTAGTGGACAGAGTAGCTTCTCCGCCGATACCGATGGTAGCTCCAACAAGGACAGAAAAGAAAAAGTAGAACCGAAATCGGAGGTTCGGATCTATGGTCGAGGTAAGCCATCTGTATCACAGCCTGCAAGATCAGAGACTGACTATGAGACAGGTGGCGCGCAGAACATTGGGAAGAAGGTCAAAGAGAAGGAACAGAAGAAGCCGTCGTCTTCCAAAACTGGTGGCTTTCGCGGACTCAAGGGTATAATGTGATGCTATTGGTTGAGTTTATCGAGTGGGGGTGCGCCACCGTCGACCATGCATCGCTGTCACACTCGGTTATCTGCATCCTGTATCGACTCGCTCCGGCATCCACCTCGTCATCATTGCTGTTCCCAATACGTTTTCATACACATCTCTTTCTTTTCTTCCATTTATAACGACATTGCATGACGCGAGGGCGGTCTCGATTTATGACTGATTGCATTCTCAGATACCTGCCTCACTGGCACCCAGTCTCGACTCTCCATTCGTCGACTGCATCCTAGTACCAAGTTTAATAGCGCGTAATCAACACCAATCAAAATCATCGCGTCCTTTATGCGTGTGTTCACCCAGATATGTAACAAAGATGACCGCAGCAGTGTGCTGACATGTCATTGGCGGAGATTGGCCGAGACATCACAACTACAACCTTGACATTCACAATCGACTGTCCGGAGATCGATTCGATAAGATCTACAATACAGCCTCGAACCCAGGGTGCGTCAGGCCCGCAACTCCTGCAATCGCCATCACATTCAGTAAAGCTCAAACGCAGCCAAGAATTGCTTTTCCATCCGTCATCCACCTTCCGCACCCCCTTAAGTTAGCGCCATTTTAAGTTCGGACAATAGCTCATCTGCACAACGTGTCCCACACTAAGACATACGACTAACAAACGGCCGCCTTGCGTTCTTTCTCCCCACGGTGTCGGCGGATGAAACGGTGAGGATGTTTGGTACTGTACTGATGGCCGTGACGTGGGGATCCTTGTTCAACGTACGATTCTAATAGATCTCTGCCAGATAACGACTGTACTGCGCATACACTCATCCGACCAACACTTTTGAGGCCCAGTCGCTTCAGAAGCAATGCTTGACCGCATGCGATCTTATCGTGTTACCTACCTGGCTCGTGGTGTGGTGGGTGATTGAGCGCCGTTCAACAATCGCGGAGACGGGTGCTGCCACACTGCAGTAGGAACAGTGGAGAGGGGACGGTCATGAGGGTACGCTAAGCCGTGCCGCGGAAAAGCAACGCAGTTGGGTGTAGAGCGGGTACCCACCCGAGGCTTGGGCTTGGGTTGAGGTTCTGAGGAGACGTTGGAGGTCGACGGCGTTGGACAGTTACTATTTACAGGGCGAAAGCTAGACATCGTTTGTCTAACATCTGCTGTTATTAGCGTGCTACATGTGTATCGAAGAACTCTCGCCACCCGACCTTAACACCGCATGTTCTTCATTCCTCGTACCACATCGCTCTTGCTCATCCTCTCGTCCATTTGCCTAACTGCCTCAATGTACATTCGACTCCTTACTTCTGGGCTTGTCACATCGTCACCCATATCATATGCCTCTATGAGTAACTCTCGGAACTCCGTGTTCAGTCTCTTCTTCGGTGGTCGTCGGCAACTGCCATCGTCCCTTGCTAGACAACGTAATTATTTAGCTCCTTCGACAAAGATATTGCCTCTCAATACGAAATCCAGCATTTTTCGCTCCCTTTTGGTCTTTTGCTCAACATGTTTGCGTTCATCTTCGATGTGTTTGTCTGAGTTTCTGATAGGTTCGGGATGTCGTTCACTGTAATGGCTCTCACCGCTCTCCTGTGTAAGATCCGTTCCTCTGCTGGTACTTTGGGCCTCATGTTCTTTAATCTTCTTCTCTTGCTCCGCTGCTCGCACCTTCCATTGCTCCTTCTCGTCTTCCAAGGCAGTGTACTTCAGCTTGTAGTGTTCTGTCTTTTTCTCTTGTTCGAAAAACATTGCTTTCCAGTCTCCATCCTCTTCCTCTTGTTTAGCACTGTCGGCAACAGTTTCAGCAAGCGCCTGTTGATTGATGTACTTCTCTTTCCATTCCTCACGCTGCGTTCGTAGTACTCGCTTCTTGGCCTTTTGTCGGGCGAGCTCCGCTTCGATGACATCGTTCTTGGCTTCCTGTTCTTGAAGTTTGACTTCCTGTTCTTGGAGCTTGGCTTTGAGAGCCTGCACCTCAAGTTCTAATTCGGCGTACTTTTCGGTTCCGTAGCTGCTGGAGTGCTCCTAAAGTGACCAGTAAGCGATCTGTCTAGCCTGAATGACTGTGCTGTGGCCACAACGGTGTAAAAAATCGAGTACTACTTACGAATGGGACTGTACGCTTGTTGGAGTCTACAGTGTAATGTCAGCTTTGGTCAGGTACAGAATGGGCTACTCAAGTACGACTCACTCTGTGATGAATCATCAGATGTACTGTCGGCCAGGTCTGCAAAGGAGCGTTTGGCAGGAACCGTAGAAGTTGGCTCTTTATCCTGAAGCACTAACTCATCGCTCCCTCCATTGTGGCCAGCATATTGGGCCTGCTCTTGTATCGTTGCGTTCTCTGCTTCAATATCCAAAAGTTGTTTATCTAGAGATTCCCCTGCAATTTTAGGCTTCTTCCGGTGTTGCGCAAAATTTCTGCACGCCAGCCTGAAGCTTCCTAACATATCTGGGCTCTCTAGGTCAAGAGCATGGACCAGTTGTCCTTTCGCTAGAAAGATAAAGTTGATGACGGATTCCACCAAAGCTCGCTCAAGCTTGCGCTCCGGGATCATGCGGGACTTCGAATTACTGGAGTTGTGAACACCGCTCATGGCGTTGAATGGGTTATCGTAGTATACTCGGAAGCCATAGTTATCCAAGATCAATGGATTAACTTGAACTCCTTCGCCTGAGTAATATCGTATTTGAGTACCCGTCGCATGTGCCCATACGGGCGGACCACTGCTTCTTCTCCAATAATGGCCAACCAGGAGCATGAGTCGCCGACAAGGCTTGTTACGCTCGTCCAGATAGAATTTCTCGGAAAATTTGTATGTATCTAGGTCCGCGATTGCTGCATATTCGGCCGCAAGCTTGCCCGTGGCATACTGAATGAAGTCTCCTATATTGTACTTCCTTCTCGACGTCATTTCCGCTGGTAGGTTGGGTCGTATGTTGGAAGTGCGAGTCGTTGTAGTGAACTAGTCTAGTGGTTAGTTGAAGCCAGAACGTATACGTGCTCTCCTCTTAAACTCACATGTATTATAGCGACAGATAGTCGGGTAAGTAATATTGTTGTAGAAAGAGTCACCAGTGCGGAGAAGCTGTACTTCACGCGAGACGCGCTAAAGTGGGAGCAAACGCCCTATATCCTATCAACAAGGTGAAGGTGAGCAGGGATGATGGGGTAGCGGAGCGAAGGAGATGACAGCCTAGTATTGAGGGTTTTTATGTATGTAAATGAGGTAAAAGTATTGCCATCAACAGAAAAGCATATCTTAATGTCTATCCAAGTGGCCGGTCCGCCGCGACTAGCTGATGTTGGAGACGAAGTGCGATCAATATGAGAAGGCGTCGCTGGATATGGTTATTTAAGCATGATGGTCATCATCCTTGCAACCGCACGGATTCACTCCATTACTACTCACCGGTCATAATGTTCTACTCTGAAGATACTATTTTGCTGACACGTGTGGAAGAAAGTCTGATTTCACGTTTTTCCTCGACTTGGTATCCTTCCGACTGTCAATCTGTTCCAGTATTTTTATCTCTCTTCGCCTGTGAAAATATCCCAGTGGTCCAGTGTAACGTTCATCTTTCTATCCTGTTCCCCCATTGCTCGACGAAATCATGCACAGTCAAACCGCACTGAATTCGTCCAGATGGGAACCTTCCAGCAACATCGCTTTCAAATTAGCCACCAACCACTCTAGTATCCACCCATGGCAATAAGAATGCCCTCAAGCTCTCTGATCCTCTCTTCCGCCTGCTGTAGCTGTAGACGATCTTGTTCGCGAGCACGGTTTGCTTGTTGTAGTTGTGTGCGGAGGTCAGCCTCGTAGGCCTGTGTCTGAGCCTGTCACGAGTTAGCGATGAAACTGATGTCTTTGCTACGGATGACAAAGCTGATATACTCACATATGTGGGTGGCTGACGGCCTGATACAAATAAATTAGCTTGGAAATGTGAGAATCAGATCAATGCACTTACGACGTGGAGTGATTGGAGCCGGAGGGCGGCGTATAGGAGAATGTGAAAGACCGGGTGTTGGTGTACCACCCTTTCGAGTGGGGAAATCGGCTTGGGTTTGCGGATCACGATTCGGAATGGCTGGGGGTTGGAAAAGACTGCTGTCCTCATCCGTAGGCTCAGTCTTAACGCGTGGAGATGGTAGTCCTCCTGAAGAGCATCTGTCCTGGCCGTTGGCATGAGAGAAAGATGATCCCCTATCCCGATGATTGTTCTGACGACCCCAGGCGCGAGCTTGATACTCCTCATTCAAGTCCTCCTTCTCTTTCTTAACCTTGGCCATGTTCGCAGCCTCCGTCTTCCTCGGCTCATAGTTGATACAAGCATACTTGAAAGCTTCCAGCGCATCTGTATCAGAGTCGACCTCGAAGTGAACGAGCCAGCCTTGCTTCAGGAAGACGACGTTGACAACTGTCTCAACTACCTTCATACCGTAAAGACGTTCCTTCTTCATACGCGTGTTCTGAGAGGTGGACATGTAGCTGAACGGCGGGACGTAGTAGATGCGATTTTCGAACAGATCATCTACTCGTGCAAGTTCGAGCGCTTCCGGCAAGCCGTGGTAATACTCGACCTCCAAGCCCGTGGGCCGCGCCCATACTTTTTGGCGTCCGAAGTGAGTGTGGTATGTGCCGACTAAGACCATGTAATCTTGAAGACGACATCGGTTCTTGTCCATGTAGGCCTTGACCTGGATGTTGTAGGTATTGGGGTCAACAAGCGTCTCGAATCCGAAATAGTTTTCATCCTCGTAATGCTTATCAAACATGGCCGCAGTGTACCGTTTTGCCGAACCCATCAGAGGCTGCGGCAGCGCAGGCATCCTACTGGTGAGCTTGCAATGGGCGTCTGATTCATCAGATTAGCAATGATTCTCAAACGTAACGCAGTGATGCTGACCTCTTGGTTGGCTCCTAGAATATGGCAACGATACTACGGTGCAGAGAGCGTAGTATAACCGGGAGTAAGAGTAAGTCGTGGATGTAACGAATCTAGAGCGTTAAGGCAAACGCACAGCACCACCCGCTGCAAATGATACAGGTAAGAATGTTTAGTCAAGGTGAATGAGATTTTACTCTATATCAGTCACGAACCACAGATGTCTGCGATCCTGCGATGTGGCTTAAGGAGACGAGGTGAAGGTAGTTCAGCACGCACTAGCAAAGAGGGTCAAGACATGAGAGCGGAGAACCGATACAGGCATTTGATACAGTCAGTAAGTACGAGGATCGCGATATTCCCACAGTAACCCTAGGAGAAATCAGTACTCCCATCAAACAAAGATACGATAGCAGACTTACCTCCTACATTTTGCCCTGGCTGGCGTTGTACACAACCTTACTGACCTTGTACTCCACCACAACGCCCGGCTTGCCTTCACCCGTTACGAAATGGCCCGCGGCAACATAGGTTCCATTCTGAAGTTCCTTGTATTTCTCATTTCCCGTCTCGAAAGAGAAGTTGACAAATGAATCGCCATAGTCAGTTGTCTTAGCATCGGGAGCACCAGACAGCACTTTGCCGACTCCCTGCGTGAGCTTCACAGTACCTTTGTAATACATCGCCAGAACTGTGCCGTCGTGGTTCCTGTGCAACCATTAGCCCATGCTCTGCCTAATGCGATTTTGTCAGCCTTCCACTTACTTGACTTGACTCCTCACGTCCAAGCGCATGTTTCCGCCGTCGGCATCATTGTGAATGTAGTCGTAGCCAACACCATGTAGTTCTCCATCCAACTTCGGCTCAAAGCCCTCTTCACTCTTCACCGTACCGGAAACCATTGGAACGATGACCAGCTGCGCGCCATGCTGGCCTCCAACTTGCATCGGCGCATCGATGTCGACGCGGACTGTGAAAGCGGGCTGGAGAGATGGGAAACCTGACATGTTGATTTAGTTGTTCAGAGGGAATTGTGGAATAGTTTGTGGACGCAGATGATGGATGAAGTACTTGATACCTAGGAACGGATCCGCGGTAAGGATAAGCTATGTAGTTGGTGGTATGGGGAGGCTACCCCTCCAACCCCACTTTGAGGGGAAGATCTTCCTTCTTTCCGCGCTGATGACGGCACCGAATCAGACATCATTTCGGAAGTGCATGTTCTGTATATGCCCAAAGGCCATCAAGACTAGAACCCACTAATCCTACCCTTCTTCTTCTTCTTTTTGTCCAACTTCCCTCCAAATTTGCCGCGCTCGACTTGACTTTGCGGCATCATGAAGCTGCCGCCATGAGGTGGTACCTGGATCTGACTTTGACTTTGACTTGATACCTGACTGCTGTTCCCCATGCCGCCCAACATGGGTCCTGGAGAGCTTCTAGGGAACGCGGTAGGCTGACTGACGGCATTACTCCTCGTGAGCTCAAGCTTGGCCTTCATAAGCTCGTTTTCGCGCTGTTGGCGTTTCTCCCGACGTTCTCTCTTCTTGCGTTCTTTTTCGCGTTGCAGTTGGCTCTCTTCGTCAAGATCTTCAGATTGGAGAGCACGCTCTAGGCTGGTCCAATCGTACGCGTGAGGATCACTTCCTAATTGCCAGTGCGCGAGACCTTGAGCCACATTCGGGTGGATTATCGCCGGGTCTTTGGAAGTCGAGAGATACTTGTTGAGGCGACTGAGGGGGTCGGGTAGGGCGGGAGGAGTGGGAGTCGCTTCTGGCGGAGATGACCCCAGCACAGAGGGCGGAGGCATAGATGAGTATGGTGGTGTCGGTAGTGGCTGAGAGATCGGATAGTTTGAAACGGGATAAAAAGCACTTTCTTTGGGCCTTGATGGCAAGATGGGCAACGCGACACCACCGCCCTTGTTTTGTCCATGCTGCGTGCTGGAGGCAGACACCTGCCTTCGATCATCACGTATACAAGTACTTGAGAACATCAGTTCCGTGGCAACCCGCCGAGCCAGACGTTCCAAGCGTTGACGAACGCGGATCGGCACTTCTGTGGGAAGAGGCGCAATCCATGTCTGGAGTATAGTGTCGTACACGTCCGAAATCGTAGGGTCGCTGTCGTGAGCCAAACCAAGCACGTACATAGGTGCAATACGCTGAACGTCCATTGTGTCTTGTTCATATCCGGAAGAAAACAACTCTTCGAAGTTGGACGAAGCTTCGTCAATATCTGCAACGTCGAAATGCGTGCGCGTAAACTCCATCCTGTGAATGTTAGTTTATACCTGATGTGAGCAGGGGTCACTTACAAAGTACCCAATGGTAGAGATGGCAAGTCTGCACCAGTTGCCAGCATCTCGTTCACCTGGTCCATGACCGCCACCGCATCTATCGCGCTAGACTCCTCTGCTGAGCTCTTGGACTGCGACATCACCTCACCCAAGAGGCTGTTGTTTCGTGTTTCGTACGCAGTACTATCATTCAGATTGTCATGCCAATGCGACTGTGGCGCTGCAATTTTCGAGCATGGCAATGCTGTTGTAGGTAGTCCGTCAGGGCTTACAAAATCCTCGTCTTTGTTGATCTTACGAGACCTGATTGGGGGATCCCTGGGACGTGTTATCGTGCTTTGCTCAAAGTCCGCAATGGCATAATCATCCTCGATCCTGTCGTCCGCCGTAGAGGTCCGGGTATATACAATGAGCTCGTGGACGCTCAAGTCAGACTGCGTCACAAATAGTTGGAAAAAGCCAATCTCGGACCTCAACTCTCCTTGTTCCATTGTCTCGATGAAAATGTTCGTAATCTGCCCTGGGTCCGGAAGGCATAGAGTTAGCAGAGTCGGGTCAGGGGCGGTAATGAGCCCGGAATCACGCTCGACAAAGCTGTATACTTGGACGAGGTTGTTGACACGAGAATGGATCATCACGCACGTCTCTGCTCATCTGTCAGTCGGCCTCTCACATAGGTTGAGCTTGGCACATACCATCGTCTGCCAGCATTTGCGCACTCAATCCAAGCGTAAAATCTTCAGCGCCCCTATAGTGCCGCCATGATAGAAGTATCTTAGCGCCTGTGTCGTCGGCACTTGACGGGAGCTCACTCGGTGGAGTGACTGCAATCAGTGAAATTCGAGTAGAGGTCAAGACGAATACTCTACTGCGGTCTTTTGGATGCAACTTGACGTCCAGAATCCAGTCCGCGGACCGTTCGCTGAATATTTCTTGGCAAGGCAAATACGAAGTAGATCCGCCCCTGATGCTAACGATGCTCAAGCGGCGCCTATTGCAAACCATCAAGGTCGTAACATCGGCGACCCAGAGAACCCTCGCCCAGCCATCTTGGCCAGTTGTGTCTCCGTCATCCGACTCATTGACCTTTCCGCGGAGCATGCATGAAGCCGAATATCTGCCAAGCCTAAGCCGATGCTCGATATCCCATACACTCCACGTTTGGCTTTGGTCGACCAACGCAAACTGTAATTGAAAGTCCGGGTTAAAGGCAACATCGACATGGGCAAAGCCACCTGTGTCGTTCTGATGTATGCTGAGTATGCGGTTCGGTTGGATGGTGGAAGCTGGCAGACGGTAGAACGGGGAAATTGCGGCAGCGCGTGGTTGACGGACGTAGTCCGGGTGAAATAGAACAGTGCGTGTGGGAAGTCGCACGGCAAGCAAAGGCCTTTTTTCCTCTGAACGTGCAAAGCAAACCTGCTGTATCGGTGCCGCTTCCTCGTTCCAGAATGCGCTCTCTGCGGCTTTCAACGTTTGCCCTCGTACCCATGGCCTCGGTTCGGTTGTCCAACCATGCGTTTCGTCATCCAAAATACACAACTGCAGTATACTTCCGGTCTCCCCGGTGGGCAAGGCAGCCATCTGCCACGCCTCATCTCTACCCCTGGGCGTGATTGAACCGAAAGATAAAAGGCCACTGACGAGAGGGTCATAGGTCGAAGCCGCGGAAGAGATAGCAGCAGATACCAAGGCCAGGTCCGGAATTATCTCCGTAGCCGGAGCGAGCAGGGGGTCGTCTTGAACTGTATTGCTGAATTCATCCTGTATGCTCGTCCTGTTCACTGGTGTTTTTAGAGAGAACGGTGGTGCTGTTTTAGGTGTCGCATGATTTCGCGTAGAAGACGAGGTCGTTGGAATCAGAATCTGCTTGAAGATTCGCTTCTTATAATTCCTAGCAAAGGCCCATCCTCTGTTTTCTAAATCATAACTCGCGACGCCAGGATGGCCGTAGTTCAGGTCTTTGAGCGATTTGTCAGCCATTGGGCTGTCGTAGAGGTTCTCGATCGGTAACAGCGCTGCGGTATAAACTCATACTTCGGGCACAGGAAGCAAATGGTCGTAGGCGGGAGCGGAGAAGATGTCTGTCAAACCTGGTGATGCCGAACGCGATGATGAAAGTGAACAAACCAAAAAGTTCCACTAGCGCCAAAAGTCGCGTCGGCACGTGCAGGCGCCCCGCTCTTGTTCCTACCGCATTAGCGCGGATGTTTGTTTACGGAGCAACCATCGAAACCGTCACCACCGTCATCTAACCGCATCCACGACATAATCGCATATCGCTGCACACCACAGAATACTGAGAGTACCCTGCGATAACACACCCACCATGACGACCTTCGAGCCCTCACTCAGCACCACCATGCGCGCTTCCTCGCACGATGCGCCGTCCATGGCCGACCAACTACCCAGCATCAATTTCGGATTCGACGACTTGCGCAGTCGCATGAACCAGTTCACTACACGATTTGACGCCTTTATCGAGAATGGGCGAAGACGAGTGCTCGAAGAACGCAACCAGTTTCGCATGAACGTTGCAGAACTCCATGGTATGTTGAGATGGCTTGTCTCGGCGCTGACGATTGTATGCTAACTTCCACTGCAGAGGATCAACGCATGAAGAAGCGCGACATCGAGATTCTCGAACTCAAGACAGCCCAGCACAGCCAGACTCTTTCCAAGGAATCCCAAGAAACATCTGAGATGCAAGAGGCCATCTCCGCCCTTACCCTCCAGCGCGACGAGCGCCTAGCGCATCGCGACAGCCTCCGCACACAGATTGCTGAAGTGCAAAAGACCATCTCCGCACGTCGCGAAGCCCAACTCAAGCACCGCAGATACCTTGATGGCCAGAGCCGGTACAACGAGCCGGAACTCGACTTCTGGGAAAACTATCTGGGATTGAGAATCGAGGGACTTGGCAAGGACGATCGACTCAAGTTTGTGTATACCAACGTCGACGAGCGAGAGTGGGATCGCGAGGCATGGTTTGAGCTAGACACTAGCGAACGCGACTACAGAGTGTTAGAGATGCGGCCCAAGGTTGAGCGCGAAGAAGTCGAGACGGTTGTGGAGAGACTAAACGAGACACGCGATCTAGCAGGCTTCCTAAAGGGCATGCGCAAGTTATTCGTGGAAGCTTGCAAGTGATGGCGCGACACTCAGTCATTTCACGATGTTATGTAATTATGCCTTTAGTTTTGATAGATACCCGCAAGATTCTTCCTTTTCTCCATCTCATCAACCGCCGTTCTTGATCTTGTAGTACTCTGGCGCATACTCTGTCAGCCAGTCCATATCCACTGTACTCAAATCTCTGATGTAGATTTTGTCTTTTGTAGACTGAATCTCCGTGTATATAACCCAATCAGCCTTCCTCGTGAAGAACACAGAACTTGGATGAGCCCATAGTGTCGTCTTCCCGTCCACGGTGGTGAAAGTCCCGTCTGCCTTCATCCTCGCAGCATGCGCGAAGAACCCGGTAGTCAAACAGCGGCGGACACGCTCCGCAAGTGGGGTGCCACCAACTCTCAGTACACCCGATGATGCGAGAACATTTTCCTTGACGCCAAAACGGTCCAGATAGGCAGCCAATTGTTTCCGGACACTGACTGCCTTGACGAGGGACTTGTGATTAAGACTGTTCGAGTGGCACCATGCCGTGTTGCCCATACCAGCTTTCACAAAGGCTTCGTACACGTTGTATAGTGTAAGATGATCACCCTCTGCTACGGCAAATTTCCGCCTCGCTGCATCGAGCTGTTTCTTTCCCCCATCATGGGATACAAAGGCGTTGCCTTGGAGCGTCATCATAGCGGCTATCGTGAGCATCTCGCTCAAGCAACCAAACTCTGGTTCAGCCGCTTTCAACACAGCGCGCCCAAGCATTGGTTCGAGAGGAAGCTCTGCCAGACGCATACCAAAGGGCTTTGTAAGCCGAGCGTGAGCGTCCAAGGCCCCCAGAGAGTACAGCATATCTAGAGCGCGTGTCACGAGTGCTGATGGTGGTGGGGAGAGGTAGTCGAATCGCACTACGTTTGTGATTCCCAAGTTAAGAAGCTGCAGGATTACAGGGGCGAGGTTTGAGCGGGCGAGCTCTGGGAACGTGGCTTCCTCCAGGCCTTCATACACGCTCTCTGGGTACAGTCTAAAGCACTTGCCCGGTCTCGTTCGACCTGCGCGACCTGCTCTTTGTGTGGCACTGGCTTTCGATACCGGGACAACGGCGAGATTTTCGATGCCGATATTGGCGTTGTAGGCGCGGAGCTTGACGTATCCTGAGTCTATCACGAAGACGATGCCATCAATGGTCACAGACGCCTCTGAGATATTGGTGCTGAAGATGACGCGTCGCGTATTTTGCGGTGGCTTTGTGAAGATGAGATTCTGGTCTTCTGTGGGCAGGCCGGCATAGAGAGGTAAAGGCATGAGTCTTTGCTGAGACGAAGACATATCGGCAATACGGTCGCCCAGCTTGTCAATCGCGTCATCTATTTCCTCGCGCCCTGTCAAAAAGACGAGAATGTCACCTTCGCTCTCATGCTCGTGGATCTTGATGACTGTGTCGATTGATGCTTCGACGTAGTTGTTTGTTGGTTCCTGTAAGTATTGAATCTCAACTGGATATGTGCGTCCTTCGATGCCAACAATGCATCCGAATTCTTCCTTGCTCTTGCCATGAACCTTCTCGCCTTGATCGGGACTGAAGAAGTCAAGAAAGCGTTCGGCCTCAAGTGTAGCGCTGCTCACAACGACGCGCAAGTCTTCTCTTTTCACCAGTACTTTCTTCAAGAGACTCAGCAGTATATCGGATGACAAGCTGCGCTCATGTGCTTCGTCAACCATGATAACGGAGTACCGGGAGAGTAGCGGATCGACGAGCATCTCGCGTAGTAACAGCCCATCTGTGACGAACTTTACATTTGTGGCTGCGGACGTAACATCTTCGAACCGGATGCTGTATCCGACTTTCTGGCCGAGCGGTGTCGCTAGTTCCTCTGCCACTCTTGCAGCTACACTGGTACATGCTATCCGCCGGGGCTGGGTGATGGCTATCTGCTGGCCGCCATTGCACCAACCCGCCTCAAGCAGAAATTTTGGTATCTGCGTTGTTTTGCCTAGATATAATCAGCTCGAGAGTTCGATTCTGTCTGAATCTGGATAAGTTACCGCTGCCTGTTTCGCCGACAACAATAGTCACAGGGTACGTCTCTATCGTGTAGAGCAGTTGATCTTTGAGTTGTGCGATTGGTAGTAAAGCGGATGGCTTATACAGACTTGGAATCAAAGCAGACTCAATATCCCCATCTTCTGCCATGACTCAATGTCAATAGACCTTCAGGAGGAAGTGAAGATAGATTGGCGTTGGGGTGCCGAGAGCATTGAGTAAGGGCCTCGATGGAGAAGGACACTAAGGAGATGCTCTAGCCGGATACGACTTAGCGTAATGTATTCCTGGGTAGTTCAATGCCTGAATGCGATGGTCCTACTGGATGGTGCTGAGGGTAGTTTGACGACCAACCAGGTCAGCCCAAGAAGTTGAGATTCGTTCAAGTGTATGATTGTTTAGTTAGCTAAGGTTGATCCAAGCCGGCAGGATTAGGTGCGGCAGGCTCGATTGTCTTACCGGTGCTACAAAGACCAGGACTGAGGTGCTTCGTGTTGGATAACAAGATGCAATGCAAGCCCCAAAGTCTGGCGGCAATTTCATTACACAGTACATGGATTCATTTCGCGAAAGGCTGACGGGTCAAGGGCTAGATGACGTCTGGCACTAACTTGTCTTATCGATAGCCCCTCTAACATTTTCGAGTCGCGACTCACAGCTCAAAACACCTCAAAATGGCGTTTCGCAAGCGCAACATAGCACTGTCTCGCGCACCAACAGGAAAAGACGCGTTGAATTCGCCCTCTTCTCCTGCAGTAGCTCAACCTGTGCCAACGCCCCCCGGCGTACGACCCTCGCCCATCGATGGCCGCCCCACCACATCCACCGGTACACCCTCGCTCGATGGCATTCTCGCGGGACATGCTGGGCTAGCGCTGGGAAACTCGATACTCATAGGCGAGAGCGGAACGACCGACTATGCCGGCGCATTGCTCAGGTTTTACGCAGCGGAAGGTGTGGTGCAGGGGCACAAGGTGCATGTAGTAGGCATGGGTGAAGTGTGGGGTAGGGAATTGCCTGGCATATCAGAAGACAAGTCGGACAAGAGGAGGGAAGGAAAGGAGCGAGCAGAGAAGATGAAGATCGCGTGGAGGTATGAAGGCCTTGGACAATTTGAGAGTGCTAGAGGTGCGTCTTGTATATATTCTGGGAATGCAAAATTATATTCCGAACAATTTTGACGAGGTTTGCGACAGGCTCGCCCAATGCGCAGAGAACAACGAACCAAGGCGACGCAGCAGAAGAGCAGACAATCTTCTGCCATACCTTTGATCTGGCCAAACGTCTCACGCTCCCGGTGGGGACAGCAATCAACTATGTGCCGATACCTCCACCGACAGGCGCTTCTGCCTCGCCCTTCCCTTCGATTCTGCAAAACATACGGCAGCAGCTCGAGTCAACACCACCACACACGGTACATCGCGTTGTGATACCTTCTCTTCTCTCGCCAGCGCTATACCCTTCCTCGTCGGCCCATCCGACCTACATACTTCAGTTTCTCCATGCTCTGCGCGCGCTCCTCCGGCAATACCAAACGCGTCTGACCGCCGTTGTCACGCTTCCATTAACCCTGTATCCAAGATCCTCCGGGCTGGTCCGCTGGATGGAGATCCTCTCAGACGGCGTACTCGAATTGTCTCCGTTTCCATACTCGCGCATGCAAGCACTTGCACAATCGGCGGGCACCACAAAGGACGAGGAACGACCACAGGGTATGCTTGCCGTCCACAAATTACCCGTGTTCCACGAAAAGGGCGGCGGTGGTGGAGCAGAAGACTTGGGCGAGGATATGGCGTTTACATTGAGCAGACGGAAGTTTGTGATTGCAAAGTTCAGCCTGCCACCGATGGAAGGCGACACTGAGGCGCAGGAGGAGGCTGTAAGGGAGGCGGCGGGTGCTAGTGCGATGCCGAAGAAGCAGGATCTAGAGTTCTAGAAGGCGCGCGTCGGCGGTAGTGTGTAGATGAAGATACCCTGTAAGGCGGTCAAGCCATACTTCTTGTGCTGTTTATTCCGAGTCGCTGTCCTCTCCAAGCATGTCTTCCATCTCAATTTGTTCCCAGCCTGCGCTTCCTGCTCCAGATCCGAAGCCTCGCGTGTAGTTGCGACCAAAGGATGCGTTTCGGGGATTGAATGTGACACCAGCAAATCTTGCGCGGAAGCCGTCGCCCATGCAAGAAGATGCAGCAAGGAATGCGAGGAAGAAGAGAAACGGTATGAAGAGCAGCAGGCTCAGGAGGAGTAGAACGTTCATTGTGAGCTTGTGGTGTTGTCGGTGCGGTGAGAAGGCTACGCAGGCACGTGGAAATGTCTAGACCCCTATGACATAGTGTCGGCGGCTGGCCAGTCGTTGAACCGAGCCCCTGGCCGTCAACATTGGGGCTACGACTCAACTCAACCTTTACATGGTACATTCTCCTGCGACGTGCCCCCAGGAAACCATGAATTGCATGTTGAAATTGCCGCTTAGCGCGCTCTTGCTTTTGTCATGCGCCCTCAACGCCTCGGCGCATGGCGGGAATGAGCATACACAAGTAGAAGTCCCACCGGACGCCGACTGGGCGACGCGACACATGGCTGGTATAGACTTCCCGGGATCCCCGCATGAACGCATAGGAAAGAGCAGCGTCTAACACACTCGCAGAGGAGCACCACATCTCCGGCTATGACGCAACTACCTTCTTCAACCTACACGACTACGACAGCACCGGCCTCTGGACCGCAGTTGACATCCGCCGAACCTACGGCCTCGAAGACCCCTCCAGCGCCTCCATCTCCGAGACAAAGAAGCAAATGGTCGTCCAGACTATCCTAGACATGTTCGATATCAACAAAGACGGCTCCATCACCTTGGCCGAATTCGTACAAAAGGATTCAGAGAACGTCAAGCTTCCAGACTTTGGCATGGGCCCAGGACACCACGGTGACGACGAGTACGAGTACGAGATTCATCATTGGGAAAAGTACCACAGTGGTGACGACGTCAAAGAGGAGGACTTGAACCACCCCGAGGATATCGCGCATTTCAAGATGCATGAAGAGAAGGAGGCAGCACAAGAGGAGTGGGAGAGGCTGGAGCTCAGGGGCGTCGTGGAGAAGAACATTCCACTAAAGTACAGGCGGAACTAATGAGCTCTGCAAAGGGCTGAGGATGGGCGTATGGCGCTGGGCCGCATCTAGGGAATGCTTGGATATGCGGAGACGATATACCAATTTAGGACTACGAAGCACATTATTCCGATTGTACCAGAATGACCCTGTAGCCTGGAGGTACCCAGTACATGCTACATTGACGCGGACTAACGCAGAACACAGCGATACTTCAGGCTGCGGTTCACCTAGGTACAACTATACACAATTTGTGGAGCAGCTTCAAAGCCACCTCTCGAACCACGCGAACACCTGCTTCTCTGAATCCTCCAAGGCCTTCCTCTCCTGTGGGTCGTCTGGGTTGCCTCTGACCGCGAACCCATGTCTCCCGGGCTTGTACGATTTGTGTTCGATCTCCGGAAACCCCTTGCGCTCCTTTTGTGCTTTGGCATGACATGCCTCCACCTTGCTCTTCGTTTCATAACTTACGGCAAAATCCTCTACGCCCCACCCGAAGCTCGTGGGAACCATTAAGTCCTCGACGTCGTCAGGAACAACCAAGTGACTTGGGTGCAGCGCCACGATCGCGTCGACAAGCGGCCTCTTCACTCCCTCCATCTCGATCATGCTGCTCTCCAATCCCGTGCGAACAGCATACTTCCCTCCCCAGCAAAATCCGACCATGCCGATCTTCCTTTCGCTCGGCGTCGCCCGTCTCAGCTCCCGCATAAAGTCGAGGCAGATCTTATCTGACTCCGCCTTCCCATGCCTCCTCTGCCACATGAGAAAAGATGGTATGTTCGTCAGGATACCTGTGTACTTGGCAAAGGTACTCTGGGCTGCGGCGTCAACAGGGAGCAATGCATCAGCAACCTTCAATCCAACCGGATCGCCCTTGAAGAAATCAGGGAGTAGCACTAGGTACTCTCCTGACTCGGCATAGGCATCGGCGATGATCTTGTTGTTGGGAAGACCTAGTCCGAAGATGTCCGAGTACATGCAGATGACTGCCCGTGGAGTGGTTCGATTTCCAACCATGTAAACGGAGAGGCCATAGAGTTGTTCGATAGTACCTTTGGGATTGTCTGCGTGAATTGAGCCCTGAAGCGGGGTGGTTAGCGAAGACAAAACGTCAAGCAGTGTGAAGTAGCACCTTGATGCACTCGGTCGAGCAGGATGTCCCTGTGGCCATGGTGGATGTTTTAGTGGATAGCCTGATGTCGAAGGATAATGGTATAGAATTATTATTGAGGAGTTCTGATGCGAGGACTTGACGAAGAGAGTGTAAGAGCGCCGATCTCAACGGAACGCACCGCTTTTATACATTCTACATCAACCGCAAACCGCATATTTACGTTTCGACTGTTACAACAAGCATCTCACGAAGCGCAGCTAGCGCATGTAAAGTACACCAATAGGTCCAACTCGCTCTCCTCGTCAGCATGATCCCGTACCCACCAACTAAATGATAGTGGTACTCGCCAATCGCGTATCTTGCAGACAATGCTAGTCAGTGATAAGTATGTACGCCTGGCCAATAAAGGTCATCGCGAGCTAAACCTCTTGCGGCTCATTGAACGAGCACGAATGATCACCCCTGTCCTGTCAGCATCGACACCATAAACGGGTGCACCGGGCGTAAGAGGGTGCATTATATACTTTGATTGCGAGGGCATGACTATGCCTCCAAGCACGAGAACGGGGTGGCACCTGTTCGAAGACGTTTCTTGCACCACTCACAGAAGACGCGCATCGATGAAAGATAGCTCGCTTTAACCACTGTGCAGCTGAGTTGCTGAGCATTCGGTCAGCTTGAAAGCTGCATTCAACTCTCCGATAAGTGTCGGTGCGATAGGAACTCGATTCTACAAAGAGAGGGGTTATCTGAATAAACTGCTACACCGATGCTGAAACTACCACCCAATATCTCCTCCGGGACTCGCCTGCGCCCGTATTTTGTTTACTATCCGCAACGCATCTGTTACGATCATACCGCACACCAAGGTACGAATCTGATGAGAACAACGAGATACAAGCCAGACAACAGTCAGACTCAAAGACAGCAAGCTCCTCTGATCGAATGTTCTAGGTACCTAGTTGCGGGACAAATTGGACAAAGAAACCGCAAGTGCGTATCGATAAGAAGAGTGACAGGTCGATTGCCCCTCCCTCAGATCATCATTCATCCACTCCGCCTGCGATGAACAAGACATAATATTCATCCATCTCGCGCTCGCATCCTGAGCAGTCTACCACCAGGCACTAGAGATTGACTTTCTAGTAGCGCACGATGTGATGAGATTGTTCGAACTGACTCTTCATAGTTACAAACTTTCCATCTTTTCACAGCGCCCCTGCTACGGAATACTCTATAAACGACGTTGGTCAAGGCGTAATGCTTGACATGCTGAAGCAGGCGTACCCTTCCTAAGGATGAGGCTTTTGTTTTGCTCCCAGTCCCAGAACTCTGCTCTATGGATAATTAGGGCTTTCAGAACGCCATCCGTTTGTTCAACCATTCGCAGTATCGTTTCTGCAAACTCACTAGCTGGATCTGCTTCGCTGAGCTCCGGGCGATCGATCACAACGAAGACAGGCTGTTCTTGCAGTCCGATAATCCCCAGTAGAGCCTCAGATAGCGCCTCAACTCTCCCAGAGCCGCGGCGGGATATCAGCTTCTTGATTTTATACCACTCTTCAACCTTTCGCACCACCTTTGGATTTTGCTCAAGCAGCTGAAATGTCAAACACGCTAGCGTAGTCTCCAGAGTGCTAGATCCTTCACACATGGCAAAGAGCACTCTGCTTTTCTCGGAAAGCAACGATAGGATCATATCAACCGCCATTGGAGAGAGCCAAGACATCGGGGAGCTCACTCCATTTTCGTTGCGTCCGGACAGCATGATAAGACAGGAATCACTCTTTTGCCAGTGTCTCCCGACATCCAAATCCAGAAAATCTGCTAAACACAATTTCGCTCGATGTCTGTCGTTGTCGAAAACTGAAGCTAAAACCTCTCGGTATTGTTTGAGGGATTGGACTGCGTCTTCAGTATGATAATCCGAAAGCTGTAGCGCGCCTGCCATTTCGAAAACAGTATTGCTGTCCAACCTGTCAGTGAGATCTGTTGGCCGTCAGCATACGTATGGGATGCTCAACAAGAACGCTGTACCTTTCAATTCACGGGCTAAGTGGTCTACACGTTCTGCCAACAACGCTTCGCATCGCAGTCTGATTCGGCTGAAGTTCTTTCTCATAGACTGTTCCATGACTTCGAATTGGAGAGGCTTCCCGATAGTAGATATCTGGCGTCCTAATCATGTTAAGTATCGTTTCACTAATTTGAACAATTGTGCTGACCCCAAGTAGAGCTCATGAAATACGATGTTGCTTCACGTGCAAGTAATATGATATCCATGTACGCGTCCATGAGCATCGCACCTAGCTTCGGTTCGGGATAGATCCTCTGATATACGCGAAGATCTGGCAGTCGATCCGACATCTGTTGCATAGCTGTGATGATTGTCTCTTCTTCTTTCGCTTTCATCTTAACGGTCTCAAGACCACCATGTCAGCAGGCGACCGTCACTTCCAGGGATTTCTTACAGAAAACAGCAAAGCCAACGTCGCACACGCAACTCCACCGTGTTGAGCATCCACTAACATGACGATGTTAACGATGCCTGAGTAGGCGTTGACAAAACGATCAAACTCCGAGACGAAGCTTTGTGTTCTGCTAGAGATTTTGTGGAGGCCTTTAGATCGCTTTTCCTCTAAGCTCACATGGGCATTGTTGAGTGCTTCTGTCTGACCACTGACATACGCTGACAAGTCCTGTAGCGACATTCTCTTTAACATTGCTAGTGGATCCTTCGGTTCGACTTCTCCAGGCGCTGGTTCCAGCTTGCTCCGCCCTCCAGCTTTTGCGATGCGCTCCAGTTCCTCTTTCATCTTTCTTGTTGCCTTGGGAAGCTTCTCGCTAATAAAGGTATCATGGCCGGTAAGTACTTGCTTTGCAAGCGCTCGCGTTCTGACATCTGTTAGAGAGGACCTGTGTAGAAGAAAAGTCGCCTCTCACGCTAAGTCAGAATTTGGGAACCAGACAGAGGACATCTCTCGACTCTTTTCAAGGCCTTGTGACATAGTTCTCAGCTACCATTCTTCATGTACCAGTAGTGTTAGATCAGCAAGTAAAAGTAAGTCTCTGTCCCTTCTTTTGCTTCAAGGCCACTAGATGAGCACGAGAAGACTCATCAGCATGCAAGCTGCAGCATAATACTACCCGCCAGGTTTATGTAAGACCAACAATATCCGGTTCACGGTCGCCAGGCGTCAGCTACTATACGACTAGGCTATGCTAGCGTCGGGCTTGCACTGCGTAGTCGCCAAGCCGTGGCATTCCACTGCATCTGCGATCACAGCCTCATACTCTAGGTAAAAAGCTCATCTCTTGTACTTCGTAAGTCTTACAGCTTCAGATGCGGGTGTGCCTTCTTAGACAGCACGCATGATCTTCTACCCCGCTCAAACCGTGCCACCTACGACCTTGGAACGCTTAACTCAATGTATTGCGAACAGACATGTACGAACCAGCACTATATACCATGCGATATTTCCAAGCTCGAACACACGTCAAAAGCCGTCTTTAACCGTTCAAGGCAACAGAGTGTAACTCTTTCCACAAGTGTGGGTCAGAAGAAGCCACTTTCTTGGAAATCAGGAATCGATAATTCCTTGCATCTCACCCAGCAGTATATAAGACTGCAACGATCGAACGATACGGATACAGATCAAAATCAGTACGTCTTACATGCATTACACAGCCCCGTCCAACTTGCGCAATTGCCAGGTTTATGTTGGGCTGATACGCAGCCTTGTCCTACCAAGATGCTGTTATCACAAGACGGAGCGGCCTATTGCAGCCAACCTGGCGTAGAACCCTGCATTTATACTCAATCAAAACACATTGGTAGCGAAGCCTCGGACAAACCAAGCAGTTCTACCCTGCCAATACTCCCTAAGTCTGCTCTTGATACGACAGAGATGCAGATCTAGGCTTTTAGTGCCGAATTCGAAGGGAAAACGTAAGATTGTGGCTGCTTTGCAATAGTGTGTTGTCATGTGTTCGCACTACAGTTCCGCATTTGAACTGTGAGCCCTCAAGGGCAGGCCCTACGCGCAGCAAGATATTCATTAGAAGGGGCAGCCGTCTGTTGTTGAACTGACTCATAGCCTCGTATCCGCTGCCTCAATTCTGCAGAACGATAGTTTTCCAGTATGGAATCCATTTCCACTGATACAGTGGAAAGCAAAGTATGCCAACACTTCCGACATTTTTTGCTTACAACTAACTATTGTGTAGCCTGATTCCAATCAAACTAGAATTGCAGATCTTGAACAGCGATATATCAGATTACTCGAGTCTCGAATCACTCAACTCGAACAGCGGAACGCAGTGGTTGAGACGACCAAGCCTGCCGCTGAAGATGTAGTGGTTTGTGTGAGCTCCAGAATATCTATAATGGGAAGACTGACGAAAACAAGCTCGCCGAGGCCAAGAATACGGATGGAGACTCTAGCTCTGGAAACGATAGCAGCTACAGCTCATCCAAGGTGTGTCTAGCCTATACTACGTACCACTACTCGTTCTAATGAACAATATAGGACAATGCCGACAATCCTGATTCCAAGGCTGATGTTCCTGAGGTAGAAAAGGAGCCACGATACGTGGTAGTTGTCAGCCGCTGGGATCCGGACTTGGGCGACTTTACGAACATCGATGCGACGAAGAAAGAAGAGAAAAAAGCCATCGGGCCCGAAAACCAGAGAGCTTTCACATTCAAAAAACTAACACTTGCGCGATCTCAACAGTCTGAGAGTGAGCCTTATCACTCAGAGGCTAAAATCGAGTCCGAGCCTCTCCAGAAGCTACTTGGAAAGATCACTTCCAGATGGGGTTGGTCCGAAAAAGTGACCGAATGTAGCTCGCCTTACAGTGGACTCATATACGCCTGGACTGAAGCTATGCAGGAGGTCAAGGTACAAGACGACAACGAAAGTGACGACGAAAAGCAAGCTCGCACGGATCTTGGAGAGTTGTTGAAGATCATCTCAACTTCTTCTGGATTTCTGCCCATCGATCGGTACTTCAAAAATCGCGAGGCTTTCATTAACGAAAAAACGATCACACATGCGGCGCTCTGGACTCTCTTCCCTCCCGGCACTGTGATATACGCCCAGCCTTTCCTAGGTGAACCACAGGTTTTCACAGTCTATAGCTGCAACGGCTTCGTCACGGAAGACGAGGACTTCGACTTGGTTTGTTTTTGTTTCGACTGGAACGGGGCCGAATTCACTCGAGTCCCTTTCATGATGTCGATACCATACTGGGGCTCCGACAAGCGGAGTATTGTGGAGTTACCCTTCTACCCCGTAAAGTACTACACCAACCCTGGCACAAATGGCGATACATCTCCTACCGATGCATTCGAAGCATTGCGCGAAAGATTGATTGCCCGAGGCAAGAAGTTCGTCAAGTACTGCGTTTCCGTGAAAGGTAAGCAGATGTTTAAGTATACAGGCAATACTCACTTCCATACTGGTCGAAATCTCCTTCACGCATCCGAGGACGCAGATGGAGAACAGAAAAGGCAATCAGACGACTCTTCAACCGGTACTGGCGTTGGGGGTCTCAAAGCCAGTAACCAGGCGCGTTCTATCAGCAGGAAGAAGGTATGCGATACCCATACACTCATGGTCGTGGCTAATCCTATCTTTCAAGATTGATGGTGGAACAACAATGGTAGATTTTGACTCTTTCTTCGAGTATCTTTCACCCAGAACTCCTATTCTTGGAAATCTCCGCCGTTACGAAGGCGAGCTCGAAAGCCTATCACCCGAGCGGAGAGCAAACCCAATTTTCAAGGAGATCTACAAGTTTCATTGGGACAGGCTGCCTGCGGGACACTCCATGACTCCAGACCAGTACCTTCACTGTCCGCCCAGGGTCCTGGGTTACGCGCTGAAACAGAAGAAATGGGCTCAACTACTTGTAGACGGACTCCGTTCACCAGATGCAGCGGATGCAACTGTATTTGAGGAGAAGCTACAGCTCGATGAGGAAGCCAAAAATCTTGTCAAGTGGTCTGTACAAGCCCACGAAGAAGGCAAGAAGTTGATTGACGGAAAACCTGGCGAATCGAGGGGTCTGCAAGACTTTGCGCCAGACAAGGGCAAAGGACTCGTCATCATGCTCTATGGTATGCTCTCAGATGCTTATCCATGAATTTGAGGATTTGTTGATTGACTATATAGGGTTTCCGGGAGTGGGAAAGACACTCACCGCAGAAAGTGTAGCTTTGATGGCAGGCAAACCACTACTTTCCGTTGGAGTTTCTGATATCGGTATTGAAGGCGACAAGGTCGAAGCCAACTTACAGAAGGTCTTTGATCTTGCAGGAAAGTGGGAGGCTGTGCTACTCTTGTGCGTTACAGGCCCTACACTGTCGAAATATCTTTAGACTGACTATCTCCAGCGATGAGGCAGACGTCTTCCTCGAAGCACGAGGCGACGGCGAGAACGACCTTCAGCGTAACGCCATGGTTTCAGGTTAGACAACATTTTATATCTAGGTTCTCCCAAAACTAACTTCAATAGTACTTCTTCGAGTACTCGAGTACTATGACGGGATACTGATCCTGACAACTAACCGTATGAAGTCATTCGATATTGCCGTGCAAAGCCGTATCCGTAAGTCTCAATATTACGTTGTGCATATCTCAGCATCACTAACATACAAAGATATTGCTATCAAATATGACGAGCTCGACTCAGACCAACAATTCGCGATCTTTGAGTCGTTCCTGGACCAGCTCAGGCGCAAGAAGCTTGTGGAAGACTACGAAGACTTGATCTCATGGGCTAAGAAAGATGGCAAAAAGCTAGCTCTAAATGGCCGGCAGATCAGAAACATAGTTTCTACGGCAATGAACATCGCACTTGTGGATAACAAGAGCGGTATGGGGAAGTTGAAACGTGAGCATCTTTCCAGGGTTGCCAAACAAACGAAAGACTTCAAGCAAGAGCTCAGGACTCAAGAGGACATCTACAGGGCGAAGACCAAATAGATGAAGTTAAGGACATATGACGCCATTTACGGCCGGTCCATGAGGTATGCGCAATGTTTTAATTTCTCAAAGTATTCAACAAGTTATGAGCATATCCCGAATCTGCCAACATGCTGTCAATACCGGCCCATCAAGACCCGAAAGTGGCTAGTCGCACAACGATCTGACTAGCTTTTGAGAGATAGTAGACGTGTGTTCATGACAGGTTTTAACCCAAACGAGCCAAATGAATGAATCGGAAGCTTGCGTTCTAGAATTGACAATGCTTCACATGTACCTCATTTTCTCTAACGTCGCTCCGTGAGAAATAGAAACTCATTTATTTGCCGAACCGTAGCGTCTCAGGGTTGTGCAGCCGCCTGATGAGGTGAAACTTAGGCGCAAAGGCTTATAATACTGATGTGAGCGATGGAAGGAGAGGATCAGTAAGATCCTTATCGAATATATCTTGAAGTTTTATGAGATGATCATAACTGCTTGGCGATCGTAGCGCTGAGCATATTGACGTTGACGTGGCAGTTTGGCATGTATAAGCAGAGGCGGTCAAGAGTCCTTACATGTGTTAACTGAGCTGAAGCACATGTATCACGCGTAGAAAGAGACCAACCTTGGTTGACTTTGGATCTTCGAGATGGTGGTGGGGTCGATTGACCAACTGGTATATTTATCTCGTAACTTGGCACAGCCGCGGACAAACGTGGAGCTTTGGCAGCACCTTGATGACGCCTACTTCTTCTTGCCCGACGCTTCGGTTGCGCTCAACTCCCTGATGAAGACCTTGGTTACACCGTCTGGCACATCGTCGACGCCGTCCTCGAAGCCGGGACTGACTCCAATAGCTACGTATTTACCGTCGTTGGAGAAATCGATGGTTTGCACGCTAGCAGGGAACTTCTGGTACTGTCGTATCCTCCTCTTTGCTACTGCGTCCCAAAGGGCGACTATGCCATCGCCGCCTCCTGTCGCAAAGGTGCCGTGGACTGGGTGGTATGCGAGCGCGTGGACTGGGTAGACGACGTCCTGGCCGTCGACCTGTTGTCTGTGGCACTTGAAGGCGTACTTGCGCGACTGTGACTCCTCAGACGGGTCGAACCACTCGACTGCTACACGTCCCTCGATGCTCGAGCTGGAGTAGCCCGCGTCGTTTGGCATGCAAGACACGGCGCGTGTCATGTACTTCATAGAGCTCTCCCGCTGCTGCCACGGCTCCACTGCGACCTCCTCACCGCCACCTCTCGTCGCAGCCTCGGCCAGCTTGTCGAGTTCGTAGATGTTGACTGCGCGGCTTGCCATGGCGACGACCAGCTTGGTGGGCGACGCGGAGAGCGAAAAGGGCTTGGAAGGCAGGCGGACAGCAGAGAAGTCGCCGGGTTGCGACAGATTGTGGAGGTGCAGTGTGGAGTCCCATGATGACGAGATCAGGAGGTTGTGCGCGGCAGAGTAGAGGACGTTGCGAACACCCTGCGAGTGTGTAGACATGATGGTCTGCGCGCCCGTCTCGAGGTCGATTCTGCGCACCTCCCAGTCGAGCCCGCAGGAAAAGGCCTCGTTGTCGTCGCGTCCGAAGCAGACATCTAGTACGGGCGCGCGGTGTTCGAATTTCTGGAGCAGCTTGCCGCCGGGCTCAGCATGTGTGTCGTAGAGGTAGACATGGCGATCCCACGACGAGACGAGCAGGCGTGTTGGGTTGTTGGTCGCGAACTTGACCGACGATATGGGCTCGGTCGGGTTTTGCGCAAGCTCGAATTGGCCTGGCAAGTTAGCACGGGGCCCGGACAGGCTTGGACTGACCTACTTGACATGTTGGCGATAGCACGGTGTACGGGTTCTAGAAGCTGCGAGTCGGAGTGAAGCTCTCAAGGGCGGGAGTCCGCAGACTAAACAAATACCTGAGATGCACGCTAACGCCCCCTCCAAAAGTTCCCCAGCTTCTTCCCTCGTCACTGCACCCCAACAAACATGCCCTTCGCACAACTCGTCATCGGGCCGCCGGGCTCTGGAAAGTCGACGTACTGCGATGGAATGCAACAGTTCATGGGCGCAATCGAGCGCAAGTGTTCCGTCGTCAACCTCGACCCCGCGAACGACCACACCTCATACCAGCCCGCTCTAGACGTCCGAGACCTGGTCACAATAGACGAGATCATGGAGCAGGAGACTCTGGGCCCAAACGGAGGGGTCTTGTTTGCGCTCGAGGAACTGGAGCACAACTTCGACTGGCTAGAAGAGGGCTTGAAGGAACTTGGAGGTTCGTGACAGCACTGGACTCTCTTCAAGTATACTAATGGCTCCAGACGACTATGTCCTCTTCGACTGCCCCGGCCAGGTCGAACTCTTCACGCACCACGGCTCGCTGCGCAACATCTTCTTCCGCCTACAAAAACTTGGGTATCGAGTATTCGCCCACCACCCATGGCCTGCAACTGGGGGTTAACATGACCAGCTCGTCGTCGTACACCTGACCGACTCCATCATTCTCTCGCGACCGTCGCTATACGTTTCCTCTCTCCTGCTCGCCCTACGCAGCATGCTGCAGATGGACCTGCCCCACTTGAATGTCCTCACAAAGATCGACAACCTCCGAAACTACCCAAACCTGCCTTTCAACCTCGACTTTTACACTGAAGTCCAAGATCTACAATACCTCCTGCCGCACCTCAACCGCGAACAGACGTCTGGCATTCCAGGGCCTACAAGAGCTGGCACGAACGACGTAGACCCAGACGACGACGAGCCAACATCAAAGTTCTCCGCGCTCAACAAGGCGATCGTGGAGCTCGTTGAGGACTTTGCGCTGGTAGGGTTCGAGACACTGGCAGTAGAAGACAAGAAAAGCATGATGACGCTGCTGCGGGCTATCGATCGTGCAGGCGGCTTTGCGATGGGCGGCATAGAAGGCGCAAACGACACAGTGTGGCAGATGGCTATGCGCGAGAACGGGGCGACTATGGACGCCCGCGACGTGCAGGAAAGGTGGTTGGACAGGCGGGATGAGCTAGACGAAGAAGAGAGGAAGGCATGGGAGGACGAGACCAAAGACATGCGCGATCCACCACCGCAGAACGCTCCTCAAGTAATCCCCACATCGAAGCCTCCAGCAAAGCCTCCAACAAAGCCCAAAAGCCAGGACAGCGACGACGACATGGACGACCTGGAGGAGATGCGACAGTTCATGGAGAAGAAGAATGACACCGGCATCAATGTTGTCAGAAAGTGAAGTAGGATATACTAGCATGGTCGTCGCGACGACCGCATGACCAAGCCTCTTTCGCTAAACAGCAACGGGCGCCTTAACATGAAGCGCATAAGAACAAAACGCTTGACGCAAGGCCTTCCTCTACAGAGTATGGGTGCAGAAAGCAAGGAGATAGGAGCACCGCTAGTGGAGCATAGGCAGTGACTGAATCGATTGTCACATGGATGAAGGGAAAGGCACTTAGTGGGGTTGGATCTTGAAACAGCGCGTCGCGTCGGCAAACAGCTGCACGCGCCAGCATTGTACGATAGTCTACATAATACTACCGGGATATCTGACCCTGCACTAGACCCTAATAGATGCCGTCTAATTACCTCGTATTACTACTCTGGCTGTTTTGACCACGCACATGCTCAAACGCAAGCCATCTCGCGACCTGGCCAGCGGCCCCCACGTCTCCATCTTTAGCGACGACCCCACGCTTAGTCGTCATAAGCGGAAGCGTTCGCTCTTCCGTTCCAAACACAGCCGGGCGCAGTGGGTACCCGAACCAGAGCGCGACATGAGTGAACTGCTGGAATTCGTCTTGCAGCACGAAGAGGCCTTTAAGAAGTAAGGCCAGCCGTAGCTTGGCAACCCCTGCACTGCTGACCAGCACAGCCAGTACCGCCTCGCATCGCTCTATGCAGACTTTCGGCAACAGCTCGAGATCAACCCCGAGGGCTACCATGCGAACATTGCCGCATGGACAAAGGCGCTTGTCGACGCCTCGCGAGCGGGTGTCGTTCCCAGACAGGGCACCACACACGATCTCCTAAGCATACGAGCCGCCGACGAGCTCGCGCGAGCCCTGCAACACCCGCAGCATGGCAAGCCCACCTGTCTTCCGGCCGTGTTCCATGAGGCAGTCCAGAAGAAGGAGATGGTACCCCTGAAAGACTTCCTGACAGCCAAAGAGAGCATATACAAGACATCATGGATACCATCACCATGGAAGGTGCTCCAGTGGAGTCTGCGGCAGGTTGGCGTTTTGGGGCAGGTACAAGCGCCAGCCAAGATGGAGGTTGGAAACTTTGTGGTCGTCAAGAATGTGGAGGTGGCTGCAGACGAGATACTGAAGAAGATGAAGGAGCACACGTCTACGGCTGATCGGGTGCTATCAAAAACAGACTTCCTGAAGCGTTTCGCGACTGTACTCAACCCAACTGCACCGCTTACGACAAACGATCTGGACATTGTCCTTACATTCCTCGCTAGAGACAAGCAAGCGATATCTTACAACGAGCAGACGATCAAGTTCAAGCCGGAGCACGAGGATGTGCCTCTGCCAGTTACGGAAGAGGATGCCGCCATCGCCAATCTTCGCGACACACTAGCAAACATCAACGCCCAGATATCGCCAATTATGCAGAAGATTGCTCTGGCAGATGCAGCGGCACGGGAGGCCGTAGTTGCGAAGCAGATGGTCCGCGCCAAAGCTGCACTGCGCTCGAAGAAGCTTGCCGAGAACGCTCTCAAGCAGCGTTCCGATGTTGCCCTCCAGCTCGAGCAAGTCTACACAGACCTACAACACGCAGCTGATCAAGTCGAGATCGTGGAGGCCATGCGCGCTGGTGCTGCTGCGCTCAAGGGTCTCAACGAGAAGGTTGGCGGTGCAGAGGGCGTTCAAGGTGTTGTTGATGCCGTCAACGAACAAATGGCGACTACGGAAGAGATTACGAACATCATCAACGAAACCGACCAGCCTCTCGACGAGGGCGAGATTGACGATGAATTCGAAGCACTGGAGAGGGCGGATCGCGAG